AAGGAAGCACACTTGGTGGTTATGGTGGTGAATAAAAGGGGGCTTGTTTTGGGGCCTATAATTAGGCCAAATGAGGGGACAAGGAAGGGCCTGATTTGGTTTATGGTTTGACATTAATTTTGGCCAATTATACATTATTTCATTGAAGAGATAATGGGGGGGGGATTAGGGAGATGGACATTTCGTCCATAATGTAGGAAGAGGAGGGGAAGTGTATTATTTGATTACTTAAAGGTTTAAGAATAACAAAAGAAAATGTTTTTGGTTTGTCTTCTTCTTATTTTCAGTCAAGGGACTTAAAATAAGTGGAGGAAGACTTTATTTGAAAGGGAATAAAAGACAAGGCAGTTTGGATATTTAGGGATGGTTTGGGGTTTAGATGGCTCGGCCTAAGTGGGATGTAGGACAACAATGGTGTTGGTTTGGGCTTCATGATAGGAAAAAGGAATGAATTCAACCCAATTAAAGTCACCACACTTTGGCTTCATTCTCCTGATTTGTTTTTCCTTTTGTGGACTAAGGAAAGTCTTCGTTGACGCTCCCGAATATCTAACAGCGTGCCTTACTCTTCTTGTTCACGAACTCCTTGTCGTTACATGAGTGCTCCCTCCAGAAAGCTATAGCATCAAAATCGGCGGGAAGACAAAAGGGGTCGTCGTAGAACTCAGGCTGCTCGGTCTCCTCTTGGGTGTAGATCCCGAGACGAACAGCCATCTCTCTCACTGTCAAATGAAATGACTGGCCCGGAAGAGTGAAAGCAAATGTGGTATCAGCGGTGATCAAAGTGTGAGTCATCTGGCGTGACTCAATCTCGGGGACAGTAGATATCGAGCATAAGAACTCGATGGTCAGTGGTAGGCTAGACTCTGCCCTCAGCTGAAGCAGGCGCTGCCATTTGGTCCCCTCAAGCAGCTCCTCCATCTCCTCTGCATAGCCATAGTCCGTCAATGTGTCGTGAGCCAGACACACAGACTCGTGTAACACCCGTGAGTGTCCCCACTCATCGAACCTCGTACTAGAAGCAGCATCAATCAGTTGGACCTCATTACGGTCCACAGTAGGGAAAGAAGGACGATGAGGCATCTGCACACACCCAAACAAACACATAAAATCTTGCCCCCAAAACTGGTGCGGCAAGTAGAAACTCAAGAACAACAAATAAAATTATTGAAAATATTTTAGTTATTAGAATGACGGGTTGCCTCCCGTTAAGCGCTTCTTTAACGTCCGTAGCTCGACGCTCACCCACTTTTTCCGCGACTTTCCTATCCGAGAGTCATAAAGTTTGACCCTTCTGACTCTCTTCTGATGACACCTTGTTTGAATATTTGCTCGGTCAAGGTCCAGGATCCTTGACTCGTCCCTGCGGCTTGGCGGCAACAGGATAGAAGGAGGAGACTCTAGATAGGTGGGTGGTGGCGGAAGTCTCCTCAGTTGATCCACATCATTAGCTTTGGTTGTGAAATTGATTCCTTCCTTATCTTCAATAGGCTGACTATCCATTTGTGGTTTGATGATTACGGCCGTGCTTTCCCCCATGGATGAGTCTTCAGTGTCACTTACCAGAAGTTCATCCCAACTCTTTTGGCTCCATCTATCCTCCGGGCAAACCGGGTTACACCCGTCATGTAAGGAGTCAAATAAAGTTTGGTCTAAATATACTAGTGAAGCATTATTTGCACAGGTTTCTATAGACGAAGTTGGGTTTTCCATGCACAATATTTCCTCGTCAACAGATTCCTCCTCAGACTCTTGGATATTGGAATCTTGGGGGCAGGTAATGGGCTCTATCTCCTCCAAAACAGGTTCCTTTGGAGGTGTATCTACAACACAATTAAGGAGATGGTCGTTTATTGCCGTAGGCAAAACTTCCTCCTCCTTTTCTTGAATGAGCGTAGGTGGTTCTGAGTCAGGTCCCTCAGTTGGTTCCACCTCATGTACGACTGTGCTGGTTAGGACTTGGCTAGGAAGAGATTCAGGTAACATCACCACAGTAGCCCTAGCGAGAGTTGTTATGCTCTCGGGTTTCTGTGATGGTGCGGAATTAGGTGAATCTTCCAGAACCGGGACCTGTTGGTTGATGGGTTCAGGGTTGGTCTTAGGTTCTAGAGCCTCTTTTTGAACATTAATCTCCCTCATTTGATCTTGAGATTGGAAGGAGCGTTTAAGTTCAACAGCCTTGCAGAGATCATTGACTAATTTATCCGCTTTAGACTCAGCTTCTAGTCTCTCTCTTTGAAAGTCGTCCAGCATTTTCTGCATCATTTCTAATCCTTCGCATAATCTCCTTTCGAACTCCTTTTCCTTCCTGACTGATTCGAGAAGTTTTGCTCTTTCTCGAATTGCCACCTTGTTTGCTTCAATTTGTTCTTCAGCAAACAAAGTGTAGTCACGGGAGTAAGGTGGTTCGTACCACGAGCCTTCAGCAAATAAAACCTCGTCGAAATAGAAGATTTTCTGTTCTAATCTTATTATTTCTTCAACGAGTGGATCTGATTGACTGTCGTGCATTCGCCCATATTGGTCATAGTCATCGTGATCACCATGAGGTTCATAATAATTATCCCCATCAGAATTTTGGTATGGAAAATATCCAAAGTTTCTAGACGGGGTATCACATGGTGGTTCCTCATGGTAGGGATAGTAGTCAGACCCATTGTCGACTTGGTAGTCATCATCATATGACAGTTGTAGTTTTTCGGGTAGTAAACCTCCCCAGTAAAGGGTTAGTTTTCTCTCCGAGTGTCGTATCTCTCGAGAAGTGGACGAAGAGAATTAGTCTAATTAATCTAACTAGGCGAAGATTAGGATTGGTTTATGAAAGTCTTCTCGAAATGATTATGAAAAAGGGAGCAGAGTAAAAATAATAAATTAATTTTACATAGTATAAGTGCAGATCTGGACCTAGGGTCTGGACATCATTTGGATTTATTTTATCATATTAAATCAACGATTGGAATAATAATATTTCTATTACTACTCATCCATTTCTAGATTTGTACTTAATCCGTTGCACTTGAATATCATAATCTTTTGGCATACAATATTTTCTCAATAAATAGCTAATTAAATCTTCCGACATTAATTAACTAAATAAGGCAAGGACAATAGATTAACCATTCCAACATTAATTTAACATCAAAAATAAACAACCAAACTAGCCCGGACCCAGAGATCTAGACCCTAACTCATACTATGCAAACATAAATTAAAACAGCATTTTATTAAATAAAGAAAACTTACTACTTCCGTAAAAGCGGAACAGAACATATCGGGAGTCAAATCCTCCGGAAAATACTTAAAAATAATAACTAAACTAATCTACAATGAAATATTGAGCAAATTAAAGGGGAAACCCGAAATGGGTTGTGAGATGGTGTTTGGAATGGTGGAGATCGCGTGGTATTTATAGGGCAGGAAGTACGGGCGTCCAACTTCCTGGGTGTCCAACTTTGGACGCCCGTACCCAAAATACGTGTTCCGTCTAGTCGCGTTGTGCCGCGTGGCAAAGCCGTGTCACCGGGTAGCTTGGGCGTCCAGCCTCTTCGGGCGTCCAACCTTGGACGCCCATGACCCAAATCCAGCGCCCATTTTGCTTCCAATTGCGGTTTCTCGTGATTTTGGGCCCAAAGTTGTTCCGCATTGGCCCAATTTGCTCCCAGACACTGATTTCTACCTCCAAAGTATCATGATCTTTAAAATCTAAAACTTTTTATCCAATTTGTACATAAAATTGACAAATCCACTTAATTTAATTTAGAACCTTTATTTTATTCTTCTTGAGACAAAACATCAGTTTTGTCACTAGTAGACACTTTCAATGGGTAAATTTATTACTATTTTCGTGCAATAACGCTTAAACTATGTAGAATAAAATAAGAACAAAATGAACTCATCAGTTATCCAAGTGCACGATGTAACGTAATTATATATGCACCCGAAGAACACATTTAGGAAACGTCAAACCAAAAAATGAAGAAACAAAGAGAAAGAAATACATTCACTACCTAAGTGAGAGAAGCATTTCAAGAGCAGCTCCAAACTGGGAGCAATTTAAAATTTACTCCTAATGAGTACATTTTAAACGGGTATATAGGTCAGTCAATATATAATATTTCTATATTATAACGTCTCGGAAGATGTAGAATCAAACACAAAGTAATTAAACAATCTATTTTTGAAACACAATATATATCACAATGTCATATTTCAACTTAAACATATATACACAAAACATATATAGTAAATTAAATATTAGCTTAATGCAAAAATATATAAACAAATAATAGTATAATTAAATCTTTAAAGTTAAAAAATTAAAAAACAATACCTTAAAGAAGGGACGACGGCGAGGCTGAAGTTGACGACGGCGGGGAGGGGCAGCAAGCATGGCACGGCGATGGCAGGGCAGCAAGCACGACATGGCGACGGTGTTGCAACAGAGACAGCGAGGCTAGGCCGGCAACAACGGCGAACATCGAGGGTGAGGTGGGCGAGGCCGAGGTGGAGCAAATTTTGAGGCGACACAGGAACGGCGACAGCATGGTGGGGAGTGTACGAGGGTGAGACAACGGCAATGGTGACGCACACGACGAGCAACAGCAACGGCAACGGCGAAGACGAAGAAAGGATTTGGAGGTTTTTTTTCAAAATAGCATAAGGATAAGGTAGGATTGGATGTGTTGTATCAAACTCTTTTTGATATACCCCAGGTTACACCTTCACACACGCCACTAATATTAAAAGAAATCAAGTGTTTAATGTCTAGGTGTTATGATCCATTTTGGGTTGAACTCATTGATCCAGCCCACACCAAAACCCAAACCATGACTTATCTCTCCCAAAACCCAACCTAGGCCGAAATGCCTACAAAGCCCAACCATCTCCCACATATCCAAAGTATTTTTACTACTCAAATAAAGCCCTTTTCCTCTCCCTTGAAGCCCTGGCCGAAATTGAAAGGAAAGGTACAACCCAAAAATAATGTGAGTGTTGTTTTCTTCCCTAAATATTCCTTTCAGCAAATAAGAACCTTCCCCATCCCTTCCTACTTCAAAATCACGAATATATGCCCCCATTTGTCCTTAAAATCAGTCCCCATCCATCACAAACATTCCCCACTACAAGAGGAACAAACCAGGGGACAAGGAATAAAACATGTCTTTTGTCCTGTTGTGATAATACATCAAACCCACACCCTTTCACACCCCCCTTATGCCCCTGGCCGAATTCAGCCCCACAAATATCCCATTTATCACTCTTCAAATCCACAATAAAACCAAAGGAATAAAGGATAATCCTTAATGTATTATTCCTCATGTGTGGACCAAAAATCCAGCCCCTCACCCTTCACATAACCAAACCACCCCCTTCCCTCATCCTTCACATGGCCGAAATCTCCACACCAAAGACACCCCATTTTCACCCTTTAACACTGATCAATGAGGACAAACCAAAGGCATCAAACAAATGGATATTATACCCTTGATTCTAGGAAAGTGGTAGGAAGCTTCCCCTTAGTTTTCTCCCCCTTATTTATTTCGGCCAAAGGCCTTGTAATGCAGCACCAGTTTGTAATTTTATTCCCTTTACTCTTTGAGTAAAATCTTTGAATTAGTGTGAAGCTAGTTCTCCCCATTTCCTAATGAAATATCTCTAAAGTTGGCTACTTTTGAGTGTGTGTTAGGAGTCTATTTCATATAATAGTAGTGAATATTATTATGTGAAAAGAAATAGCCCCAAATAAAATAAGAGTGTGTTTATCTCTTATTCATTATTTGGTTTATCCTTATACAACCAGAAAACCACCACAAAACTCCCTTCTTTCTCTCCCAATTTCGTCCATCCCCTTTCCCCCATTTAAACACTTCATCTCTTCATCAAATACCACTCCATAATATTTCTTTTCTCCTGCCCTTCATTCTGCCATATCACCTTTTCCAAACAGCCATACTATCTTCACCATTTTATACTCAAATCCAACCTATTCTTCATCATATATTCCCCTCTATAATCTGCCCTTATTTATCCATAGTCTTTTCCTAAGCTTGGGTACATCATTTGGTATCAGAGCCAGGTTGTTACTCATCTCTCAAGGACCATACACACTTCCCCAACTCCCTCCCTAAATTCGGCCTAACCACATTCAACCCTTACTCCCACTTCTTTCCTTTTCCTCAACCATGTCAAACCCATCCCGAAGCATGTCTCATGAAGAACTCGTAGCCGCAAACACTGCCTTGCAAGCTCAGATGGAATACCTAGCCAAAGAAGTGGCTAAGCTCACGAAGCAAAAGATGTCCATGTTACAAGATAGTGAAGATGAAGAGGAAGCTAGCTCTAGTAACACCATGAGAGCTAGGGCTCATGAAAAGTCCCATTCTGACTTCAAAGTTGATATTCCAATCTTTGTAGGAAAGAATGACCCGGATGAATTTCTTGAGTGGTTAGAGACAGTGGAACGAGTCTTTGATTTCAAAGAAGTCTCCGACGACAAGAAGGTCAAGATTGTGGCCTTAAAATTCCGCAAGTACGCCTCCACTTGGTGGACGAACACCTGCACCAAACGGATTCGAAGTGAGAAGCCTCCTGTTGACTCATGGCAAAAGATGAGGAGTCTCTTGAAGAAGAAGTTCCTACCCACTGAATATTCCCGAGAGAACTTTGCTAAGCTTCAAACGCTTAGGCAAGGTACGAAGTCAGTGGAAGACTACACCCGGGAGTTCGAGGAACTCCTACTCATGTGTGACTTGCAAGAGAACGAAGGGCAAACCTTTGTAAGGTACCTTTTTGGCCTAAATCTCCAAATAGCCAATACAGTGGTGCTGCAAGGCTACACTACATTTGAAGAGCTCACTAAGTTGGCTCTCAAAGTTGAGGCTCAAATGAAGAAATCCAAAACCATTCTCTCAAGAAACCCTCCCCCTTACTCACGTCCCACATATACCCCCTCAAAACTCACCCCTACTGCCCACGGCCAAACCTCCAAACCCCAAACACCATCTAAGCCAAATCCTACTCCTCCCCCACCTAAAACAGCCCCTACAACCAACAAAAGAGCCCCCGTTTGTTACCGATGCCAAGGAACTGGTCACTACGCCAATGGGTGCCCAAACAAGAAAATAATGGCCTTGGTTGAGTATGATGATGAAGAGTACAATCCCGTATGGGATGAAGAAGTAGCCGAGGAGGAGGAAGAAGAATGTGTTGGCCCCGATGATGGTGAACTTTTAGTCATCCGAAGGACCTTAAGTGCCATACCATGCCCCGAGGAGCAACTACAACGGGAGAACATCTTTCATACCCGTTGTACCATTCAGAAGAAGGTGTGTTCGTTAATCATCGATAGCGGGAGCTGCTCTAACGTGGCCTCCAAAACAGTGGTGGAAAAGCTACATTTGAAGGTATCCCCTCATCCCAAGCCTTATACTATTCAATGGCTAAACCAAGGCAAGGGCTTACGTGTTGACACGAGGTGCTTGATCTCGCTGAGCATCGGCAAGACTTATAAGGATGACATTTGGTGCGATATCATTCCCATGGATGCATGCCACGTCCTTTTGGGACGTCCTTGGTTGTTCGACAACAAAGTGCAGCATGATGGCTACTTGAACACTTATTCATTTCTTATGAATAAGAAGAAAATTACCCTCACTCCCTTACCCCCACCTTCCTCACCCACGGCCCAAACCAGCAACAACCCCCCTCCATCCCTCATCTCCACTATACTCCAAACCGAACACCACGAACATGAAGAATTCAAGGACCTCATTCTCCTTGATCTTGAGATGCCCGAACCCACTGCCCCTCCCAAACAGCCCCATCCTCTAGCCATCCCCATCCTTGAACAATATGCCCACGTCTTCCCCGAAGATGTACCACACGGCCTGCCCCCAAAAAGAGATATCCAACACAAGATCGACCTCATTCCCGGGGCTGCCTTACCAAATAAACCAGCCTATAGAATGAACCCGGAGGAAACAAAGGAGATACAACGCCAAGTGGATGAACTACTAGCGAAGGGCTTTGTTCGTGAAAGCCTGAGTCCTTGCGCTGTTCCGGCCTTGTTAGTACCAAAGAAGAACGGTACGTGGAGGATGTGTTGCGATAGCCGAGCCCTTAACAAGATCACCATCAAATATAGGTATCCTATACCTAGGCTCGAGGACATGCTGGATGAACTCCATGGTTCTAAGATCTTTTCGAAGATTGATCTTCGAAGTGGTTACCACCAAATTCGTATCTACGAAGGGGATGAATGGAAGACCGCGTTCAAAACGAAGTTTGGCCTCTACGAGTGGTTGGTTATGCCATTCGGGCTGACCAATGCCCCGAGCACATTCATGCGGTTGATGAACCAAGTCTTGAAGCCATATATAAGTCATTTTGTCGTAGTCTACTTTTACGACATCTTGATTTACAGTAAGAGTGAAGAAGAGCACATTAACCACCTCACCTTAGTGGTTAAAAGATTAGACGAAGAGAAGCTCTATGGGAATCTGGAGAAGAGCCAATTCTTCTCTCAAGAAACAGAATTCTTGGGATACTTTATCTCGAGTGATGGTATCAAGGTGGACGAAAGGAAAACACAAGCCATAAGGGATTGGCCCATTCCCACGTCGATGTAACAAGTACGGAGTTTTCACGGTCTAGCCTCATTCTACCGAAGGTTTGTGCGTGACTTTAGCACCATCACTGCACCCATCACGGATCTCACCAAAAACCAGAAGTTCGAATGGAATCCAAAAGCTCAACAAGCCTTCGAAACCATCAAAGAAAGGTTGACACACGCCTCCGTGTTAGCCTTACCGAGGTTTGAGAAATTGTTTGAGGTAGAATGCGATGCATCCGGACTCGGGATAGGGGCTGTCCTCTCCCAAGAAGGCCACCCGGTGTCCTATTTCAGCGAGAAGTTGAATGATACAAGAAGGCGATATTCAACTTATGATAAGGAGTTCTATGCTCTTGTTCGGTCCTTAGAGCATTGGCGTGATTACTTGGTCAGCAAGGAGTCCATACTTCACTCCGATCATGAGGCCTTGAAGTACATTCAAGGGCAACACAAACTCAGGCCGCGTCATGCCAAATGGGTCGAATACATTCAAACCTTCACCTTCACCATAAAGCACAACAACGGAACCTTGAACAAAGCAGCTGATGCCCTCTCCCGGAGATACCTATTACTAACGGCCCTTAGTGCCAAAATTGTTGGTTTTGAATTTTTGCAGGAGCTGTATAAGGAAGACGAAGACTTCAAAGACACGTTCTCCAAGTGTCTTTTGCGGCCCCATGGAGAGTTCCTCATTAAAGATGGTTATTTGTTTCGCGGAAATCAATTGTGCATTCCGAGATGCAGCCTTCGAGAGACCCTCATTGAAGAAGTACATGGAGGTGGACTTGCTGGTCACTTTGGCATAGAGAAGACCTACATGCTTATGCGAGAGCACTACCATTGGCCAAAGATGGAGCGAGACGTGGAGCACTACATCAAACGGTGTGCTGTTTGCCAAGCCGCCAAGAGCCACTCATTAGCCCAAGGAAAATATCTTCCCCTCCCCATCCCCACGGCACCATGGGAAGATATTAGCCTCGACTTCATCACGGGGCTGCCTAGAACACAACGAGGGAAGGACTCAATCATGGTCGTGGTAGATCGTTTTTCAAAGATGGCCCATTTCGTGCCCTGTCTAACCACACATGATGCTTCACAAATCGCTGATCTTTATTTCCGCGAGATCGTCAAGTTACATGGAATTCCCCGAAGCATGGTATCAGATCGAGATAGCAAGTTCCTTAGCCATTTTTGGATGACACTTTGGAGAAAGATGGGAACCAAGCTCAAGTTTAGCACCTCTCACCACCCTCAAACCGACGGTCAAACAGAAGTGACCAACCGAACTCTCGGTACGTTGCTACGGGTGCTCATCAAGAGGAATATAAAGCAATGGGAAGAACTACTGCCCCATGCAGAGTTTGCATACAACCGGACACCTAGCAAAACAACCGGATTTTCTCCATTCATGGTTGTTTACGGCTCAAACCCCCTTACCCCACTTGAACTTGATCCTATTATGATAAAGCAGAAATACAGTGCGGAAGCCGAGGAACGAGCTAAAGAGATTCAAGACCTTCATGCCAAGGTACGAGAGAAGATTGAAGCCACCAATGAAAGAGTGAGTGCGCGCATCAACAAGAGAAGGAAGTCTGC